GAGGCTTCTGTGGGGTGAGAGGCTTGTGGGAAGCCCGTGGTGGCAGTTGGGCTCTGAGGGTTTTTTCCTGAGGAGCTGTTTTGTTTGGCGTTTGTAGTTCTAAAAATAAAGTTAGTTTCTTTTGACAAGTGGCTCCTGAATTGTGCCCACAGACTGCGGCACCTCACTTTCCCATTTGGGGAGCTTGAGGCCAAGAATGCAAGAGCTGTCCTGAGGCTTGTTTAAAGGTAAAGTGTGTGTGTATGTTTTATTTGGTGTCCCTGGAAATTTACACAAGTGACCTTAAGTTTAGCTGCTCCCGCAGGCCAGGGGTGGCAATCAATATTAACATTAATTAATCATCAAATTGCTCTAGAAAATATAACGTTCAAGACAATAAAAAAACTGAACTCTGGTCAATGATTTTTTTCTTGCAGTAGTATAGATTAACACCTGTCAAAATACTTTACATGTATGGTATACTTACTACTTACGTTGAAAAACTTGGTAGAAAGATTATGTAGAGTGGGAGCTCAATATCTCAGTGTTAGAGCAGAGTTACAGATAAGAAGAAGGAAATCCTGGAAAGAGCCCTGTGGGAATAGGTATTTGGAAAGTTTTTTATTACTTAGTTCATAAGTTCCATAAATTTATAATTATTTCAAGATGAAAAAATTTAAAACAATCATCCAGAGAACATTTGTAGACATAAGTGAGAAAGTGAACAGAAAAATCCTAAATTTTAGTTGTAGACTAAAGAACACCTTTTGTTTTGGTAATATTTGTTGGCTTTCATACTTTAACCATTGTACTGCAAAATTGACTATTTTCAAAGTATGTGGAACACATTATATTTGCCTCATAGGGTAAAGAAATTGACTTTAAAAATCACAGATAAGCATTATAACAACCAACCACAAGAACTCAATAGGAGTTCTTTGTAGCAGTGAAACTGCTATAAAGATATCAGGTATGCAAGAAGCAAAATAAACAAGTATGGAAAAATAGCATTTTGAAAACAAAATTGAATTTATTGCTTTTCTGGAAGGGAAGATGCATCACATAGGTATGAATTTAGAGAGTTGTCCAAAGCAAAAATTGAATTAGATGTAGAGCAAAAAAGAGGGAGTGACACCAAATAGGACAAGATGCTTAGTTCAACTTATGGATTTAAAAAATAAACTAGGTTGTAAATTTTTCTTTGTGATTGGTCACATTCAGAGTTTGCATCACCAATATAGAGAAACCTTGTTTCATATAGGTCTGAAATGAAGAAAGAATACTTTTCAGAGAACCTAGGGTCATGCTTGTTTTTGCTTACTCAAAAAAAAAATGTTCTTATCATTTATAACCTTACCACTTACAAGGATAACAACCTGAAAATTAACCTATTCATTTATAATATTTAAGGGAAGTAGTACTAATTGTGAATAAGTAGTTGATAAAAATTTATAAGACATATTGTTTTCAAGGGATGATATCATAAATTTGGCCAACTGAGAAGATCCAGCCCTTGTTCCCTAATGGAAACATTTTTAAAAAATAAATATAGACTAACTAAAATAATTTTGTATAAACTCTGGAAAATTCAGAGATCTACAGAAACCAGGCAAACGTGCAATCAAGAATAAGCCACATTCAAACTGTTAGAAAATTTCATGGCATTTTATTTGCCTTTTCATCCCCCATCCCCTGCTGAGGCATGGGGTGGTTAGGAGTAAGTAACCCAATTACAGTTTCCTTTTTCAGGCTAGAAGGAGCTGAGCAAAAAATATTTGTAACACTAACCTGTTTGTGGGCTCTCAGTGTTCACCATTTTGATCTCATCCTGGTGAAATCAGTAGAAGACAGTGGCAGATATCATTATACATGGAAACTGCAGGGGGAAGCAGACCCATGGACATCTGCAGGCAAGAAATCATGGGCAGAAGAATATAACAGGACATCTGAGTCCCAAAATGAAATTGAGACAAAATTTTTTGGGAAATTGATGAATAAACAGCATATATATGAAAGAAACTGGGAGCCAGGGGCACACACTAAAACACAAAAGGACACATTTCTATAAAAGATCTGAGAACACCTTAAGCTTTTACTTCAGCTGAATCTGAAGGGACCTGCTATTAATGAAGGTGATTCACACCAGTTTGATAGTCTATTTTTATTTTTTTAAATTTTTCTATCTATCTAGTTTGATAGAGCTATCTATTTTTCACATGCTGAATTTTCAAATGAACACTCTATAAGGCATATAGAAGGAGGAAGAGAAGAAGGAGGAAGAGGAAATAAAAGGGAAAAAAGGAAAACATGGTCCATTTCAAGACTGAATATTTTCCAAAGAAACAGAGGCATTGGACTTACTAAATAAAGTATGCTACAGTTTAGATATAAGGTGTCCCCCAAAAGCTCATGTATTAGATAATTCAGAAATTTTCAAAGGTGAAATGCTTGGGTTGAGAGCATTAACCTAATCACTGGATTAGTCCCTGAATGGATTAAAGGGGCAGTAACTGTAGGTAGGTAGGGTGTGGCTGGATGAGGTAGATCACTAGGGGCATGCCTTTGAAGTTTATATTTTATCCATGGTGAGCAGAGTTCTCTGCTTTCTGATTGCCATGTCCTCAGCTGCTTTTCTCCTCCACACCCTTCTGCCATAATGCTCTGCCTCACTTTGGGTCCATAGTAAGTCAGCCATCTATGGACTGAGACCTCTGAAACTATGAGTGTCAAATAAACTTTTTCTGCTCTAAACTTGTTCTTGTCAAGTCTTTTGTGTAAAAAAAAGCTGACTAAAACAAAGACTTTAAAACAACTGTTTTAAATATACTCAAAAGAGTTAAGTAAAACTCAGACAAGAACTAAAGGACACCAGGAAAAATGAAATATGAACCAAATGGGAATATTAACAAGATAAATTGTAAATAAAAATGAAGAAAATCCCAGGAATATAGAAGAGTGGAAGCATCAGATATCTATCTCCCCACTAAGACAACAATTACAGTAAAAGAAATTGCCTGATGTAACTATTTTGGAGCTCTAGTTCTTATTAAAACTTACAACTTCTAGTGGACCACTTTGATGGTAAATTGAGGATGTTTTAGCCCATTTCAGCTTATAGAATGATAGCAGCTACATATTCACCAATTGCCGGCCCAGTAACAAACAGCAGTACATATGTTCCCAGAATACCCTGTCTATAGCTTGCAGAAGCCAAGGTTAAGAGTTTGGAACATTTTCTCCAAATATTGGGAATCTATGCTCTAATTGATGATTGATGTTTCTGATTATAAATGAGAGACCTTAACCCCCCAGGCTGTTCCCCCCGCACAGAGATAACCTACAACAATTAAAACACAAAAGAAAACCCAGAACAGAAAGATCTGGGGAAGGAGGAAAATTGTATCTCCAGAGTTATGACATTTTAACATTTGAATGTACGGTTTGCTGCATGAGCACTCGCTCATCCAGTGAGGAGGTCTGACGTGATTCAAGACCTCCAGAGACCAAAGTGGAAGCAGGTTGATTTTATTGTGTAGTTACCATGTATATATACTTGGGCAGTAGCTAAGCAGATTATAGGCAACCACCAATACAATTATTTGTCAACTGTCCTTGCAGCAACCAATTGAGGAGTTGGCCATGAAGCAAGCTCTGGGACTGCAACAAGTAGTTCTATGCCCAGGGTTGTGCCTACAGGGTGAATGGTCTGCCGCTCAGGTGCCTAGCATGAGGGGAGTGGCCTGCAACTTAGGGGTCCTTAACATATGTCATGTACACAGCATCCATGCATTTGTCCCCACAGTTTGCCATTTTAAAAATCACAAGGC